AAATCAAGGTATTCCCCAAAAATGTAAGTGTAATCCAAAAGCTATTAAGACAAAATAGAGGCAATTTTACCTTAACGAAAACTGAGCTATTAAGCTGTCAATGATGAGGTTTTCAATTGAATACGTTTCTCCGTCAGGTGACCATCTTAAGCGGTTGTTCTTCTAAAGGTACTCATCTATTGGCCATCAACCTATCCCACCGCACAATGGACCTTCCATTCACCGCCCGTTAAGCTTCGAAAACGCCGAAGATTATCGGAAAGCGGAGCGTTTAATCTGCTAGCCGTTTTGAGCGGATCCCGTCGCATGGATAGGCGATAAAAATCATATTTACCCTGGAACTGCGAAGCGATAATGTAGTGACCGCGTTACTAGCCGTTAGGTCGGACTTGGGAAAAAATGGTAGCTTTATTAGAGAGATATCCGTGTTAGTTCTGCGTGTAAACTATTTTTGTTGATATTGTTGGCAACATTAAAAGAAGTCGTTCCTTGAGGTTGTTGGCAACACTAAAAGAACGGTCATTCTATGAGATATAATTGAAGCTGCACGAAGCGTTTCATGGTCTTCGTCGTCTTCTTAGGCTGTCAACAAGAAGTATACGCGATAGTGCTGCCCAATCGGCATCACAGATTAAATCGTTAGTTGTGTTTCTTTAGTGATCTAAAAGTGAAAATAAGTAATTATACCAGTGTTATTGTTGTGCAAAGTAAAACTACGGTGATTTGGTAAAAGTTTACATATATCATCTACCTTCTTAGCTCGATAAAAAAAGTAGAGCTAACAATAGTTAGTTTTTGAAGTAATAGTTTAAGTGCAATATTTATAATTATTGCATACACGTGTATTTAAAATTAATGTATGTAAACCATTAATTACCATTTGTGACCAATTTCCAGTCGCAGGTCTGCTGGAAGGATTTTTTTAAGAAATAAGTAGGGCTTCTGTACTAATCCTTTCATGTAATTAAATTTCTTTCATATTCTGTGTACATAAATTATACAATAAAATAAATAAATTAAGTGCTAACCACCAATATCATGACTTCTACATGTGTTTTATGTTCGCATCAGGCATTTATTGTGTTATGTTAGCTGTTTTCGATACTAGTTTTGTTTAAAGTATGTTAAATGAGTTAACGTTTACATTATAAGTATCGAAAGTTGAAAATTTTGTTGAATTGGATGGGAGAAATTGTTGATATATTTTTTAGATGGTATTTTGTGGAAACGAAGCCTGATTTTTTGACGAATGCTTTATTGACGACTTGTTAAGAACACTTTATTATTGAAAAATTGTAATTTAAGTAGTTTTAAATATAGTCACTTTTACAATTGTACGTACCTATTATTAAACTATTAGTAATCTATTGCAACGAACACAGGAGTTTTTGTAGATAGAAGGTAAATTCATACGTCCATACTAATATTGTAAATGCGAAAGTAACTCTGTCTGTCTGTCTTGCTTTCACGCCAAAACTACTGAACCGATTTAAACGAAATTTGGTACACAGATAGTCTAGTGCCTGAGAAAGGTAATAGGCTATTTTTTAATTGTAGAAATTGGAAATATGTCAACAACATCATCATTGCACTCGTGCAACAGCAGTATTTCCAGTGCTTTTATCACAGAACAAAAACAGTCGCATGTTTTACGTACGAAAATGGCGAGCAAACTGTTGGATTACTCAATGTTAAGTGATAACCACCGCCCATGGACGTTTAGAACGCTCAGTAACCATTTCTAGGGTTACAACTACGTTGCCGTCTTTGAATAAAGTGGGCCCCTTCTACGCAGAAGTGTAAAACCACTTCACGATGGTCTTCTGTGAGGTCGTGATATTCAATCGGACGAACTAGCCCATTAGTGCAACAGCGAAGACTTGGCATTTTATACAAACTAAACAAAAATCAAACCTACCACAAATCTGTCAGATCATCGTATTTTTATCATTTACCGTCGTATTTCCTTTCAACTACTTTTTATTATATACACATGACGAACCTCTTTGCGAGTACATTAAGCCTCCTTCGTTAATTTACATTTCGGCGCAAACAAAAATCTCCTGGGTGCTCGCAAAAAGTGTATATATTTTCCCCAACCGTGGAAAAACGTTAATCGCCCGCGCTCCTCGAGTTCCGTAAACAAATAAATATTGCGCTCGAATAAAACCGAGTAATGTTTCCACCGGTCACCACGTAAGTGATTTTCTTAATTAAGCTCATTCTATTCTCTCGTTAAGCACAATAAAATCCGGCCAAGTGCGAGTCGAAATCACACAAAAGGGCAAAAACAGCAAATAGCAAAAATAATCATGTCTGTTATATGGGAGCCACACTCATTTTGTTCTTTAGTATTTTTTGTTATAGCGGCAACAGACATAAATCGTCTGTGAAAAGATTCGAGCTGTCTAACTATAACGGTACATGAGATACAGCGACAGACGGACAGACTGACAAGACAGTAGAGTCTTAGTAATAGGTTCCCACTTTACCCTTTGGGTACGGAAGCCTAAAATAAAGCGATACCGAAATAAAAGAAAAAACACATTACAATAAAATCATTAGTTAAAATCTTATACAAATGTTTCATCTTGTTTTACTATTCCTGTTGTACAAAATTATATTACAAAATAACTTATTGAACCATATCGTTGCCAAAAATTATCATTGATCAAGCTTTCAACTCTAATTGATTCTAATTATATTAATTACTAGCTGAGCCCGCGACTTCGTCCGCGTGGAATTATATAATATAATAGCAATAAATAAAATTTCTAAACTAAAAGTAGCCCAAGTTACTCCTTATTACATCAACTAGATGCCATTGAAAGTCCCATTAAAATCAGTCCAGCCGTTTCAGAGATTAGCCGGAACAAACAGCCAGACAGACAAAATTGTAAAAAGTACCGTGTATACATCTCTATGTATTTAATAAAAAGGCGTTATTTTAATATTACAAACAGACACTCCAATTTTACTACGATCTGAAAGCTTTCGGTGTTTTGGATATGTGCAAGAGATGGACGGAGTGTGGACTTCACTAGGCGAGATCTTTCCAGATTAATGTAAATATCTAATGTGTCTCACCAATTCGCGATCACTGCCGGTTTTCACCCTTGTGATCACAGTAACATCATTTAATATTTGCCGTTTGTTCGTAATAATGGAGTAAATCACGTTTTTAACAGAACCATTGGGGCTGATCCAGGTCCAATTTTTGTGGGACTGCTTTTTGAAGAAGGCTCATCCTCCAATCAATCCATCATCCTTCTTTTGGCCTACTTTAGCATTGAAATCTCACGTCAACACCACAACTAGCTACAATTTTTTTTTTCATAATATTAATCACTGCTTTACGTTACTATTGTGGGTTACGTTACTACTGAAAATGTTATCTTTTTCTTGTAATTACATTTAAATACTAAATGTTTCTTCTCAAAAATAAGGGTACATTCTCTAGGGGTTTGTTTTTGTGTAACAATGTAACAAAGTCGTCGGCTTATTAGACACACCTTTAGAAAGTCTAGCATGGTAAGTCAAACTATACAGATAAATAAAATTGTAGTGTCTTTTTGTAGTATTAAAATAAACGCTTTTTACCAAATGCATGTGGATGTATATTATTTACCATTTTTTTTTTTACCATTTTTGCCTGACTGTCCGTTTGTTTCAGCTAAACTCTGAAACGGCTGGACGGATTTTAACGGGAATTTCACTGCCAGATAGCTTATGTAATAAGGAGTAACTTAGGCTACTTTTATTTTAGAAATTTAATTTATTTTAAACTCCACGCGGACGAAGTCGCGGGCAAAGCTAGTGTAGAACAGGAAAAGTAACATGCCTTTTGGATCTTTTGGAACTTTTTCAAAACTTACATCTATCCTACCAAAAGTAATATTGTTTGAAAAAAATATATAAAAGTATGAATATTGAAATATGAAAGACAAGTATTAAACGTATCAAAGCCACTCGTAACTGGGCTCGCAATAAAAGAATGAGCCCGACAGGCTTCAACAAAAGAAAGGTCAAGCTCCATAATCTAATATATTATGGAACTATGAAAGGTGAAAACTTTAGACAACTCGCAGAGATAAAATGCTGGAGAGCCATAAAGCGTGAGCGTAGAAATTGCAAAGTCAATTGAATATTCTGAATCGAATTAGGCTTAATGAAACACCAAAGTATTGTTTTTACGAGGGAATTGACGCAAACTCTTGGAGCGAAGTTATGAATTTTTTTTAGTAATTTATAAAAGAATGCACGCTGAAAAACTAGGTAATAAAGGAGATTATTTTTCATATTTCGAATAAAAGATTGCTAGTTTTTCTTTCATATATATTTTATATTTAGTAGTACTAGTCACTGCACTCAAGATGAAAATTTAAATTGTGAAATTGGATTGCGAAATGTTTAAAAAGTAATTCAGTTCAGTTTATTTTTGTTATTTTGTTAAAATAAAATGTTATTTTCTGTTTTTATTACATTTTGATTTCAGTCATAAATCAACTATTATACTAATTTTTGTTAGCATTTAACTTAATTCTTTCTTTAGCTGTTTTCAATGTAATAACTTTTGAATATTGTTTCACCTGTAATTAATATACCCTTTAGTTTAACATACTATGTTGTTATTTATGTATTTCTAAGCATTGAACATGTTCTAGAGCTGATTTTTTACTAGGGCAACCCAACATCCTTGGCTGTTGCAAGAATTGTTTCTAATGATTAATAAACTATATAACACCCGCTCTCTGAATGTGCCATTTAGCATCCATAATAATAACAGAAAAAAAATTATTTACCTATCCGAGGTTTTTAATGCTAAATGTGCCGTAAGTCCCATAATTCTACAGAGATTTGATGTCTCAATTCAATAGTGACTAACCTTAACCGTGACAAGTCTTTGCAGTTACGTTTAACGGACAAATCTGTTATATACGTCACCTCGACGGCGTTGAACACCGACAACTTGATGTGTTACGATCGGATCGGATAAATAAATGGGCGAACTAAAACGCCCGGGGCGCGCGTTATTAAATTTCAAGGATGGCCGCGCGGTAAGCCGACACCGCCCGCCCTGGAACGAGGGGGAGCCCCCCCCCCCCGGTCCGGCCCCAGGGCACTGTTTGCCACGGATCACTAATACACAAGGTCTGATTATACAACCTCTGAAACTGTGGAGCAACAGAGCGGACGCCAGGAATTCGATTTGTATGGAATGTCGGAACACGGCTTCCCACCGACCTTGGCCAAAAAACACGCCACCGAGCGGAATTAATTCGGGTTTGGCGCCAAAGGCGATAGAAAGTAGCAGGCACGAGGATATTTGACAACAATGTCATCGGTAAATTTTGAAATTCCCAGTACGTGCATGTGCTAGTGTTGGCCCAAATATACTCTAGAAAGCTTGTACCTAGAGCTATTTAGAGTTTATCGATTGGTTACTTTCGATTATTGGGGCATATCTATCAATGCGATAATGGGATGGGTCAAACCCCGTTTATATAAATTTCCACGTCTGTAATAACGTAATAACGTAAAACGTTATTATACAGACGTGAATGCTCAGTGTCCGGGTGCTCTTAATTAAATGTACTCGAGCAACCCGAGTTCAAATTCCCCTACCGGCACCAATCAAATTGTTAATTGCAATCTTAAGTGCTGACTTATCATGTCCTCGATGGTGAAAGAAACCTGCAAATTTTAGAAATAGTAATAAAAAATATTTCCAACATATGTGAAGTGGTTTCGCAGTGAGGTCGCGTAGCGGACTATGCTCTTATACCTTCTGTACAGAGATAGTATTATAATAAAAAGTTAAACTAGGATATCTGCTTCTATAAGAGAGTTAATTAAATGATTGAAATTCTTCAATTACTTGTTCACACGAGTTTTTGCAAAGAGATTAACTGGCATTACATTACAACAGATATTTCTTTATACATCCCCAATGTCGGGTACCGCTTTCTTTAGTAGTAGGCTAATGAGCCAATGGGTGAAAGAGCCTCGCTTGATATTATTTAGAAGTAAACAGCAGCGCCTGAAAATGCTAGTTCCTTTGGAATACTGAAGGGATGCTCAAAAGAATACGAGTAAATGACTTTACCTTACGCCTGTCTAGCAAGTTTATGGCTGCCACACTCGAAGACAATGATTTTGTGTTTGTCTGTACAACTGATGTCACGCTTTCAGTCTTTAGACTATTAAAGCTTTATCGAACGCAGAACCGGTGGGCTAGCCAGAACCCACGGGTTTGCGGCCCTCTTCAGTGGGTAGGGCCGCGAATGTACTCATGCGTGCGTTAATTATGGCATGTCGCCTACGGGCCAACGAGGTAAAGCCAATCGCTGCATGCCTCCACCATAGTCGAACACGCTGGCCCATTGGACCGTACCTAGTCTCTGGACATCTGACGTGTAGATTCAACGCTTGGGCTATTGTTTATTCAATTAGTGGCTCTCAGCGGCCCTGACCCATGCCACGCGAATCAATGGGGCTGCGCGGTGCCCTAACCGAATTTCTACGGGAGCGCCGCGCCACAGCCCGCCAAGTTTTTAACTGAGTTACCCTAACGCTACCGTGCCGCGATTTTCGCTTTAAGCTCGGACTTTTTCCACGCGCCCGCTCGATATTCAACGCAATCGTGCGGTGGAGCTTTTCTTACACACACTCGCACGTCTTCACTGTTGCAAGAATGGGCAGGTCCGTCCGGGGAAGTACCACGACCTCATAGAAGAACGGCGTGAAGTGTTACACTTCTGCGTTTCGCCTGAGGAGAGAGGCAACCGGGGCCCACTTTATTAAACGATGGCGACGTATATGCAACTCTACGGTTGTTGCAAATGTGCGGTGGTTATCACTTGTTATGAGGTATACCCTGCCAGCTCCCTTGTGAACTTATCACATAAAAAAATATACACGTTTATATGGCGGTGGGAGCCATGAGAATGTGTATATAAATATCTGATGGCAAGTCTTGTATCCAGACTCTAAGTCCTCGTCGCTTTAATTTAAAGATGAATAACTTAAAATATTTGTAAGCAAAACGCTATCTCACTTGCGTATAAGATCGAGTTCACTTCTAAGTTTTATCAGGTTTACAGCCGTCTTGACTTTAATGCATCATATCAGTATTGAATATGAAATAATATCTTTTTATGTTGAGTAGTATTACTTTTTGACTGCAAAACATTTTTTGCAGTAAGTATGAATAAGATGTGGTTCGACAAACTCTCTAAGAAGTGGTGATATCTCTATTTAAAGAATTCGGCACTATGTATACATTTACAATATGTATTAAATATTAAGAGTATCCCGTGACCATGAACGCTGTAAAGGTTTCAAAAGGTCAGGAATTATTAATAAAAATAAACGCGATAAATCCGTTAAATAGTTTCATTCCAAAAAAGACAACCCTCATATTAGGCCTCATTTTTTAACATTTTATCGAAAAAAAAATAAGTATGCGCTATAGAAAAACTTTTGAATCAAATAGTAAAAAAAAAGTCATGGTAATCATGCAAACAAAACTCGGTAACTCTAAACTATTAATACAAATACGAACTATTGATACGCATAATCTTTTTTTTCTATTAAATACAATTTTTATTTAGCAAAATGTTCTATCTAATATTTACAACATTAAATCTATCTAAAATAAAATACAAATATTATAATATAATATTTATATACTGTTATATATGTTTCGATAACAACTTTTGTATGTAAATTCATTTAGTTCTTCTGTTAAGCATAGCTTAATCTTAACTTAAAAATTTAACTTTAAAATTAATCCAATCCCCATAATGTCTTTCACTGAGCGCGTTTCTGCTCGGTGACCTGGATTGTGAAAACGTAAAGATTTCTCCCCGTTTATAGCTCGAATATCTTGATTTTATGTTAAAAAAAGATGAATCATGGGTAATTGAATATTTTGAACTAAGAAAATAAGCTTTAGATAAGCTTCGCAGGTTGAGAAGTTTCGTAATTAAGAAAAGATATCTTGTCTGGAGGATATTTCTTTGTTATATTTTAATAGGAGGCGTGTGGCACCGAGACGTGGTCTTTAAACACTAGTCTTTTAGAGAAGCTCAGAGTTATGCAACGAGCTATAGAGTGAGTTATATTTGCTTTACACAAAGTTTTCTCTTCCCTTACTAGGCGATATGATGATACGATCTTATCAATATTAAGTGTTAATCTGTTACCCAATACCTATGGCCTAAACTTGGGTCTAGGTAACCGATTAACGTACTTTTCTTTTGTAACAGCGCACGGTATTGATTTCAGAGTAAATTTAATAACTTTTATTTTTATAATCTTCGTTTAGCACCTGCCATCTGCTTTTCAACACGACAAGGGTTGACTGATAGAGTTTAGAGAATGCCAGTAGGCATTAAGTCAGCCCATTGCTTTTTTTATGGGCAAAAAAGAGGCAACGAGCAGGAGGCTCACCTGATGGTAAGTAAACGCCACCGCCCATGAATATCTGCAACATCGGAGGGCTTGCAAATGCGTTGTCGGCCTTTTAGCAAAGAATATGGTCTCTTCTTGAAGTGAGGATATTTTTCTGTAGCCCTTAGTTTACTTGAAGGGAGGATATTTTTCTGTAGCCCTTAGTTTACTTGAAGGGAGGATATTTTTCTGTAGCCCTTAGTTTAAGGTACAGCAGTGAAGCTGAATTATATAATATAGATATATAAATTCCAAGGCACTAGAAAACGCTATGTTCATCACACAATTTTTATGCGATAGTGGGGATCAAAGCTGGCTGACTATCACTAGATGTGGGGAGGATCCCAAGAGACAGGCTCACTATCCACTGCGTCATTCGGGTCACAAAATGATAATTACGATGGTGTTTGGCCTCTGAAATAGGTTGAGTTTATCAGCATTTTATAAAATATATAGGGAAATTGGAATGATATATGTATGAAATATTTAACTAATAGACTGTGATTTCTTTTTTAATAATACTCTTGCCTGCTTTATGTGTATATTCATGCTTGTGCAAAGAAATATTTATCTACTTTCAGAAGTTATATTAAAATTGCTCATATTTTATTTTGTCTAGTATAAAGATATTATGCATATGTTCCGGTAACATTATTATGTATTGTAGTGTCTTTTTGAGCACAAATTATACATAGAAATTTATTAAAATTGAGACATTTGTGGATTATGAAAATACTTGTTCCAGATGGAACAAAACCCACGAGTCTCACCGAAGCGATCTTTTATAACTTTATTTTCGTCCCGTTTTACACTTTGGCCACGAAATCCTAAAAAATATTAAATTCATCTGAATCGATTATTCCTTGATTAAATTTTGATTATATTAATAAGTTTGGAGCTCAATGTCCGCCTTTAATTTAATATACTCGAGCAACCTGAGTTCGATCCCCGGTGCCAGCACCTATGAAATTGTCTGTTGTCACGTGCTCAGTGGTGAAGGAAAACATCGTAAGGAAACCTGCATATATTTAACACGTGGTAGGACCACGCAACAGTGTTGCACGAATAGGCAGGTCCATCCGGTTGGTACCGCGACCTCACAGAAGACCGGCGTAAAGTGTAACAACTTCCGCGTTTCGTCTGGTGAGTGAGGTAGCCGGTAGTAAAAGGTGACGACGCATCTGCGACCCTACGGGTGTTGCAAATGTCCATGGGCGGCGGCTATCAGTTAAGATCGGGTGAACCGCCAGCTCGTTTGCCACTTCGTCACATAAAATATATATATATATATATATATATTCCGAATAATAACAAAAAAATATTTCGAAGATATGTGAAGTCCGCCAATCCGCAGTGCGTGGTGAACTATGCCCTGATACCCTCTGTACAGAGGAGGCCTTTTCCCAGCAGTAGGACATGTATAGGCTGATATTTTACTTTATTAATAAGTTTTACAAAGACGTTAACCGAGCTCCCTCTTATTTATTTATTAATATATCTTATTCTATATTATCGTTATAGTAGCTACTGATAGCAACCCCTATTTGATAACTAGATAAAATATGCTAGTCACGGCTTCAATTCGAAAAATCGAAAAAAAAAAAATCTTTTTTGAAAATTGACGCCGCAACGACGAGGATTTGAACTTGTCCTACGTCTTACGCTCCCGACCAGAGGGTCGACTAGAGTCACTGAGCTAAACGGCTTGTCTTCACACCGCCGAAAATCTCAACATATTTCATCTAACTTGTTTCTTATTAAATTTTAAGCAACGTTTGGCGTCGTCTATTGTGTTTGTTACAACGGACGAATATTATCTTAAATTGCAGTGAATAACACTTTAAGAATGCCGAATATTAAAGCTTACAATAAA